CTGGGGACTTGCAGGGCATGCGCGAGAGAATGACAGGATGGGGTGGGAGGGTGGAGAGTGTGGCAGCATAGGGAGGGGACTCAGGCATGGCGCCGAGAGAAATGGACAGGCGATGGGTGGGGAGGGTGAGAGAGTGCAGCGTGGGGAGGGCACTGCAGCGTTGTTGGGAGGTGGCTGTTTCTCGAAGGTTAGTTTCATTACCTACCGACGGTTTCCCTCATTCTTGTGCGGTGAAAAAAAAGATAAGAGGAGAGAATCGCTTCAGATTGCGCTGCCGCAGTTTGCGACACAACGGGAAAATTTCCGGGTCTCGAGTAACACACTCGTGTGCAGTTTCACATCGATTTCTTTGTAAAACTGACGTCATGGCCGGTTTTGACGTGCAGATAATCCGCCATTCGGCATAGTGGGGGTACGGCGAGGCGGCAGGCATCCGCACGCGGGAGTGTATTAACCGCCGCATATTAATGAATAATTATTTAATTAATAATTAATAATTAAGCAATGCGTCGGCGTTTCGCGCACGTCTACGTGCAGAACTGCACTGCGTGAAGCAGCGGCGACCGGCCGCGCAAGCTGCTGCTCACGCTCAAGACGGAAGAGCAGCCGCAAGTTCACAAAGTGCTTTCACGGCTGGGGCAAGTACAAGAAAGCCGATGGCCTAGGTCGTTTCAACGGATACGGTACGCCAAGCGCGGCTACTGAGCCGCAGGCGTGCAAGAGTCGCCGTTGTTCCTTACGAACGGCGACTGTGTCACTCGTTGCTAATTATCAGCCAGCAATCATATCATTGTCTTCGTCGTCGCTCCGTCGGCTCGTAATCATCAGACGCATCATCATTGATGCGTCGTCGTCATCATCAGCATCATTCATTGTCGTAGTGTCCACCTCCCTGCTCTAATGGCCTAGTGTCAGACAAGGCCAGAAAGTAGGCCAAGCTTACAGTAAAAAGCCCCCACTATCCCTACCGTCTCATAAGCCTTCTTGCCACCTAGCGCCACCCAGAAGAAATTCTCTGGCTCCTGGCCTTCTTCTAGCACCGTGACAGTGTACTGTTTCTGAAAAAAAAAACCGGCAGAAAGACGACACGTTAACTAAACCTCATTGGCACTACTTTGTAACACGTTAAACTTTCCCGCACATGCATCAACACAACGGCCATATTCCACAATTTCCACGACAGCGTAGTTTGACATATTTGCCGCTAATAACATGCGCTATAACATGCCCAATAGGTGGCGCCAACTACTTCCCTGAATCCAGTGACAAACAACAACGTGGCGGCGGCCTGGACTGACAAGGAATAAATTCGTTGTTTGTGTTATATATTAGAAGTTGGTTCTTCAGTCTTTGGAAATACAACAGTGGCAGCAGGTCCGTACATTTTTGTTGAATATGTCTCGCGTGATGTCTTCGGCGAGGGTGATCTCGGCCGGGTCCGCGCTGTTGCCCTCCCATACGTAGATGATGCCGTTAGTGTCCGTGTTGTCGAACGGAATAATCATGATGTAGCTGCAAGGACAAAAGGCGATTAGACAATGACACGTTGGCACGCACGCACGCACGCACGCACGCATGCACGCACGCAGTCCACGCACGCATCCACGCATGCTTGCTCGCTCACATGCACTCACGCTCAGACAGACCTTACTGCTAATGCAGCATAGCGACATCGTTACACAATAATCTCATAACTTACGTTACTAAACTAAACTACTAACTAACGAACCAACTCATTTCTTATCCCATCTTATTCTCTATTACGTGTATCATCATTCCGCACGTCATTTCTCATCGCGTACGCTTCATCATCTCTTACGCCTTCCCTCCCTACGCACTGGACCATCGCGTTAACTGTAATCGGCTCTCACCAGAACTCTGAGTTGAGCATGAAGGCGGTGGGAGTGACCTGGATGCAGCGCATGCACAGCGGGCATCCGTTCGCACGCAGGTGGTAGAGCTTCGGAGGAATTCTCCCTCCCGCCGGCACCACTTCCTTCCTCTTGCCTGAGGACAACAAGCAACAGGATGTCAACAACAGGACAGTGACGATGGAACGAGAGTGTGTGTCCGATCTGTGTGATCCGAGTGTCATACGAATGACGCACATGTCGTCGTGAGATTCTTTTCGGAGCACTAAACGTTGCGACGTATTGACACAACGTCTTGCAAAACTTCTGTTTTTACTTGTTTGTATTAATTTTCGACGGATTCACAACAATATTTTCCGCGTTGTGAATGGGACGAGTTGGGTACCAAGGTAAGAGGATGGAGGAACTAAGAGTAAGTTTGCTGGCAAACTGTAAGACGTGATTAATAGCTGGAATTATAACAGGGAAAACATGTAGAGAATTGTAAAGCTGAATAGGTTGGCATCTTTAAAGGATTGATGGGTGAGACACTCATCAAAGGGAATTAGTGAGCTTGGATGGAGGAGTGGGTGGGAAACTATAGTGAGGGAGTGGATGAAGAAGCTGGGAAGGCGGGATGGTCAGGGGAGCGTTTGGGAGGAACAGGTGACAGATGCCAGGGAATATTTTCACTTTGTGTTGACGCTTACCTTGATGAATCACAAACCTCCTCTTGAAGTGGGAAAGGAACTTGAGGTTTTCCTGCTGCTGATGCATGCGCACCACCTCTAATTTCTCACCAAAGAGAGACTCGAACTTCTTTTGCAAGCTATAAGCAAAGACAGACTTGGAATAAGAATTTCATTTTACCTTTTATAAAACCATTTAGCCTTTGCGCTTGGGTCAAGCAATAGTAGATTATCCTTCGACACCTAACTGCCCTAACGCCGTCACATCACCGAAACCGCAATATGCAATGCCACATAAGTGAACACGACACCGCAATATGCAATAACAAATAAGTGTGGATGAAATTGTGATACGCACCGACCACAGGTGCATTAATGACAGTCTCATGCACGCTTACCTGAACGTGAAGATGAGCCAGCCCATGGTTAACGACAGTCTCGCGCACGCTTACCTGAACGTGAAGGTGAGCCAGCCCATGGTTAACGACAGTCTCGCGCACGCTTACCTGAATGTGAAGATGAGCCAGCCCATGGTTAACGACAGTCTCGCGCACGCTTACCTGAATGTCGCAAGATGAAGCCCAGCCATGTTTACACGACCAGTCTCCGCGCGACGCTTACCTGAATGTGAGAATGAGCAGACCATGGCTCTAACGACAGTCTCGCCGCGACGCTTACCTGAACGTCGAAGGTGCAGCCAGCCCCATGCATTAACGGACAGTCCTCCGCCGCACGTTACCTGAACGCCGCGTGAAGCATCGAGCAAGCCATGCTGTTAACGACAGCTCCTCGCGCATGCTTACACTGAATGTGAAGGTAGCCAGCCCATCGGTCTAACGACAGTTCTCCGTGCACACCTACCTGAACGTGAAGATGAGCAGCCCGATGATTAAACGACAGATCTCGCGGCATGAGTTACCTGAATCGTGAAGAATTGCGCCAGCCATGGTTTAACGACAGTCTTCGCGATGCACCTGAACGTGAACGCGGAGCCAGCCCATGGTTACACGACAGTCCTCGTGCACGCCTTACCTGAACGCTTGAAGCGCTGGAGCAGCCCATGTTATTACGGACAGTCTCCGCGGCACGCTTACCTGAACGTGAAGATGAGGCCAGCCATGGTAACGACCAGTTCTCGTGCATGCTTACCTGACCGTGAAGGTGAGCCAGCTGAGGGTTACGACAGTCCCGCGTACGCTCTTACCTGAATGTCAAGGTGAGCACCCAATGGTTAACGACACGTCCTCGCGTACGGCTCTTACCTGAATGCTGAACAGTGAGCCAGCCCATGCGTTAACGACATGTCTCGCGTTACGCTTTCCTGAATGTGAAGGTGAGCCAGCCATGGCTGTAACGACAGTCTTCCGCGCACGCTTACCTGAATGTGAGGCGCGAGCCAGCCCATCGGTTAACGACAGTCTCGCCGCACGCCCTACCTGAATGTGAAGGTGACCAGCCATGGGTTAACGACCAGTCTCCGCACCGACTTACCTGGAATGTGAAGGGCGAGCATGATCTGCCTTGGACTTGCTTTACGTTGGTTAACGACAGTCTCGGCGCACGCTTACCTGAAATGTGGAAGCGTGAGGCCAGCCCATGCCGTTAAGTACAGTCTCGCGCACGCCTTACCTGAACGTGAAGGGTGAGCAGCCATGTTACGACAGTCTCATGCACGCTTACCTGACGCTGACGGTGAGGCAGCTGATGCGTTAACGACAGTCTGCCGCACGCCTTACCTGATGGTGAATGCGTGAGCCAGCCCATGGTTAACGAACAGCTCGCGCAACGCTTCCTGAATGTGAAGGTGAGCCAACCCATTGGTTAACGACAGTCTCGCGGCACGCATTTACCTGAACGTTGAATGTGAGCCCAAGCCATGACCGTTAACGACAGGCCTCTCGCGCACGCTTAACCTGAATGTGAAGGTGAGGGCCAGCCCATGGTTAACGACAGTCTGCGCACGCGCTACCTGAACGTGAAGGTGAGCAGCCCATGATATACAGTCTCGCGCACGCTTACCTGAACGTGAGGTGAGCCAGCCCATGCTGTTAACGACAGTCTCGCGCACCGCGCTACCTGAACGAGTGAAGCGTGAGCCAGCCCATGGCTTAACGACGGAGTCATCGCTGCACGGTACCTGAACTGTGAATCGTGAGCCATGCCCATCTATGTACCAAGTCATCTCCATGCAGGGCAGAATTTTATTTTTATTTTTCAAGGGCTACTTTTATTAGAGCCTTGGGGATATTTTGAATTTTTTGGGGCTATTTTTTGTTTTAGGGGCTACTTTTGTCGTTGCACGTTGAACTGGATGCAATGTTAACATTTTATTACATTTTTATTATATTAGACAATTAATAAGATATTGTCGGTGTAATATTGTATTAATAAACTTGTGTCATGCATTTATGAATATGTTGGTAATATTGTGTAATTTTGTATCCTGTATGCTAATTTTCAACTAGCCCGACCCGCGAAAACTAGCCTCAAACATTCACCGACCCAGTACAATGTCAACTATTTACTGATCTTTTGTGCTCTTTTACATCGATTCAGTAATTCGTAAACAACATACTGTACTGAGCGCCGGCCTGATGGGAAAATAAACACCTTTTTACAACCGTATCGTCGAAGACTATAGTCATCACGCAGCAAGCCGATTAGAATCCAGTTGATTATTACAGCGCTGGATTCGTTATAGCGCTGTAACATATGCAAAGCAAAAGCCAGTACCTTCATTCCATTCCCACTATGCATTGCTGCCGTTTATTTCGATAGCTGATAGATCTAAAATTAATTCCTGTAAACGGGAAAGCTCGGCCGCAAAGTGAGACGTGTGAACAATTTTAATCTGTATGCCTGCTGCTAGAACAGAACTTGCTTGAAATTTTCGTAGCAGAGATGAGGGCGACGCCTGAGCAGAAATGGTCGCCCAAAGAATTGGCGTTTCGGAATATTTAGGGGGCCTATTTGGGCTCCGCCGAGGGCCGAAATCACCCGTCGCCCCCGATTATTTTCCGACGCTGTCTTACGCGCGCGTACCTGAACGTGAAGGTAAGCCAGCCCATGTTGGATGCGTCGCGGCCCTGCCAGAAGTAGACGACACACTGGTAGTCATCCTCAGGCTCCTGCTCCTGCTCCTCCTTCTCCTCGCTCTCGTCCAGCTCCCGCGGCACCCAGTAGCGACACAGGAACACGTAGCAGTCTCCGCTCTGGAAGTGACCTGCAGCGAGCAGACGCGCGAATTCAGAAGCCATACAGCCGCGATAAGCCCCTGAGATAAGTCATAGAGCTGAGATAAGTCCCTGACCCTGAGATATATACCTTCATCAGCAATCACCTCTGTAGAATTGGTTCCATAAAGAAGACTTTTGATGTTTCCCTTGAGTGACAGTTAAGGAGCGAAACTACCTCTATAGAACGAACACCTCCCTAGAAAGGCCAGTCTTGGGAGTTTCCCTCGATTGACCCTAATATACAGGTTTGACTGTGGCTCCCTAGAAAGGGCAGTCTTGGGGTTTCTCAAGCATTATGCTAACATACATATCTAACTGTAGTTCTACTAGGAATATCACGGGTCAGTCTAAGCCACTCAACAAACGAAGTATGCTAATCTTTGCACGTTTGTAACTGTAATATGGAACCTAATTGCATTAACGAGCATTCCCGTGTACTCGTGTGGTCGTCCTCTCCACGTATGCTAATATTTGCACGTATATAACCGCAATATAGAACCTAATTATATCAACGAGTGTTCCCGTGTGGAGAGAATGATTATTTCTTCTCCCAAAGAAAAATCAGCGGGGCAACGCGCTCGCTTCTCGCAGCCTCTCTCTGCTCTCTCCCTCACCCAGCTCCTCCTCCGGCAGCCGCACGAACTTCTTCCCTTCGAGCACGAACGCCTCCATGCCGTCAAGGTCCTCGTTCCACTCCTCCATGAGTGCGTCAGCTTCCTCCGTCGTCATCGCCGGCTGCCGCGGCATGAACAGCGCCGACAGATCCACCTGACGAGTGAACACGGAGGTTACAGTTATGTCTGCAAGGGCAAAGAGGTTACAGTCACGTCTGCGTTAGTGGAGGTTACTTACAGTTGTTACTTAAGTTACACCTGCAGAATAGGACACCTGTTTATAAAGGAGATTTTCGTGGTGTGGGAGGGGGGGCAGTCTTCAAGGTGGAGGTATACATGGTAATTACAGATAAAAGCAGGAGTGAATCCAAAGAACGAATGTTTTTAAATTTTATTCATTAAGGCTATTTCAAACATGTCAACACAAAACTTCTGTTAGTCAAAAAAAAACATTGTCCAACTGCTACAACAACATACTATTAAACAGAGAAAAAATTATATGGGAATGGCCAAAAACTGTAATATAATCAACGCCGTCAACTGCACACACATCACCGTGACGCGTCCACACATCACCGTGACGCGTCCGCACATCACCGTGACGCGTCCGCGCATCACCGTGACGCGTCACACGGCAATCACCGTAGCGCGCCACGAGCATCACACCGTGACGCGGTTCCACTGCATCACGCGTCGACCGTCGTCCACTGCATCCCTTGCACCCGGTCCACGCCATACCGTGACGCGTCCCACGGTACATCTCACGTACAGTCCCCTGCATCACTGGACGCCTTCCACGCATCACCGTCACGCTCCGCACATCAACCGTGACGCGTGCCCACATCACCCTGGTGACCGTCCACAACACTCACCGGTGACAGCTCCCCTATCAGCCGTGACCGTCCGGCACATCACGTGACGCGCGTCCCCACATGCACCGGGTGAACCTGTCCACACATCACCTCGTGTGACACCGTCACCGCTATCACCGTGAACGCCACGCAATAGCACGCGTACCGTCCACGGCAACACAGTTACGGCTTCCACTGTGCATCACGCTGTGACCGTCACGCATCACCCTGTGACGCGTCCGCCATGCACCGTGACGCGTCACGCATCACGCGGTGCTCGTCCCGGCGCATTCAGCCTGGACGCGTCCACTGGCATCACCGCGTACGCGTCCTGCGCATCTACCTGACGTGACGCGTCCGCGCATCACCGGACGCGTCCGCCGCACACCGTGACGCTCCTGCGTTGCATCCGTGACTGCGTCCCATCAGCAATCACCCCCGGTGCGTCCTCCTGCTACATCACCGCGTACGCGTTCACAGGCGTTTTCAGCATCACCGTTGACCTGCCACACCTCACCGTGGACGCGCGCCGCAATCACCGTGATCGCGTACCCGCGCATCACCGTGACGCTCCGCGGCCCACCTAGTGCCCGTCCGCGCCGCACACCGTTGACGCATCCGCCGCATCTTCTCACCGGTGACGCGTCCGCTGCATACACCGGACGGCGTCCTGCGCATCCCGTGAGACGCGTCCGCGCATCACGTTGACCGCCGCATTCACCGGACGCGTCCGCGGCGCAACACTAATCCTGCACAGCATCGCACCGCTAACTAACTATACTTGGTAACCCCAGTCAGTGCGCCGCGTTGAATCATATAGGTCATTGGATCCATCAAAAATTAATCTATGGTGTGTGACAGATACTTCATTAGTGTCAATAACACCTTTAACCCTAACGCCTAATCCGATAAGCCCTAGCCCTATACGCCTAATCTAACCCTAAACCCTAATCCAAATCCTAACCCTAACCTGAACCTAAACCCTGTACCCTAACACGTGTCCCCCCCGCCCTGCCTGGGCAGTCGTCGCCCCCGTATGCTCGTTGCCCGATCGGCTTAAACCCGTTCATCTCCCGGTATCTCTCCAGATAACCTCATGACTCAGCTGACCTGGTCGCTCTAGGGCGGCCCTCGGCGTCTGCGCGGAAAGTGCCACCGCGAGAGTCCACGTCGCGACCACAGCCTGCCCAAACTTTCGTCTTAGAAGATCCTGAGATCTCCTGACAGGCTCGCAAAGACGAAAGTGAAATACGGCTTCGCGGTCAACCTATATTACGGTCTGCTTTAATTACTAACCTTTAACATCTTTCTTTCTTTACGCAATGTAACGTAGATTTCTTCTTCTAATAAATTCTGCAGCCAAAAGCGAATATGGCGGCGGTACCCATTTGACTATCAGGTCTCTTCTACATATGCTAACATATTTAACATATTTCGATTCGCCCCACGCCGCAATTTCAGACGTCGATTTCTTAACTTTTATACACTCCTAGCCGGCGCTGGTACGAAAGCGAATATGGCGGCGGTCTTTGACTATTATATTAGGGTTGTCTTTAATTGTACTAACACTTTACGATTTCTTTCGTCACAATGCCAAGTAGATTTCTTACTTTTCTAAGTTCGTATACTATAACACATGTTGACCAACAGAACGGCTGATGCTCTCTCTCTAATACAATACTCCCCACTCTACTACAATACATAGTGTTTGTTCTGTTGCCATGTAGTTCCTAGTAAAGGACACTGAGGTAAGTTAGGTGAAGCTGACCCACCCCTCGAGAGACTTGGTGACGGCGGCCGTGGCCGGACGCTGGATCATGTTGAGGATCTCCTGAGACAGCTTGAGGGCGGCGGCTCTCACGAGTCGCGTCGACTTCTTACCGATCCTGCAGATGGCGCCACAGAAACATTTATGTTTGAAGCCAGCATTCTTGTGAACATACAATCGATGAATGCATCTTATATATATGGTATATAACAATGAATAACATAGTAAACATAGTATACATGCTTAGGCTAATGATTACTCACCAGACAATCGATAAATGCATGCTATATATGCTATCTATCATTGAATGTATTCTAAATATGCTATACATGCTTAGGCTAATGATTACTCACCAGACAATCGATAAATGCATGCTATATATGCTATCTATCATTGAATGTATGCTACATATTCAATACGTGTTTAGACGAATGCTCACTCACCAGACAAAGAGGTCACTGATGCAGTCCAGTATGTAGACTCCCTTCGTGTCCAGCAAGTCAGGGGACATGCCTGCTCGGGGTATCTCAACTATAACAAGGCAGAGACCACAGTGCATGAATGCAGTGAAACAGTGAACACAGCTTGATATATGTTAGGATTAGTGGATGGAGGTATGGGTAGGATACACTTATTCACCTATTGTGCCACCCTAATTCCCTCCCCACAGTGTATATATTTGCATGCATTTATCCTCCTATATGACTGTGAAATATAATTTTTTAAATCTGAAAATCTTCTCAAAAGCTATGTCCAGAAACACGTCATATGCTAGATTTCCATTCATGCTATTTGACCATGGATGTGCCTTTAACCACCTTGCATTTGATGCCCCATACTGAGAGCATGAGCAATAACAGTGGAAAACAAAATAAATGGATTTCAACATATTCACTTAATTAAAATACCTTGTGGAAGTTCGAGATACCCCATTCCTAGACCAACTTTGTATAGGATTGGCTTTCGTGAATCATCTTCTATCATCCAAGCCTGCAATAGATGGCAGCACATGACGACACATGCATTCTTTAAATAGGAATTTTACACATCTTACGTTAATTAGTTAATATGTTATAATAAGTTTTTTTTATTGTTTGCGTGATATCAGGCTGGTTGACTAATGGGAAGATTTTGACATTTCAATATTTCATGCTATAATATATAGATATATATCAGGAGTTAATGAAGACAAACCTTCGTCTTCATTAACTCTTGATATATATATATATAGAAACCTCGAGGGAACTAGAGCCACATGACCGAGATGCTCGATTTACGAGCTGCAACCTAGCATCACCACCTCATCATCACCGAGGAAAATTAACGAGCCAGTCAGTGGATCCGATTTCAAATCAGTTGCAAATTACTCTAAGCTAACATATTCAGAACCTCTCTCGGAACATTGCGGAATATTTCAGAGAAGATTCTGAAGGTTTTCTTTACATAGGCGTCGGCCTGCTAGCATAATCCTTATCGAAACTTCCATTACGACGAAACAGAGAGTATGATCATCTCTAATTTGCAACTGTGCATATCTTGACTTTTCACCACATGGCTCTAATAAAAGCCAGCAACCACCAGATGTCTGAAATCCATGCAGTCTCACGCAATAGTGTTTTCCTCGGAAGGCTGACACATCATCCTCTAACAAATGCTTTAAAAAAAAAAGTGACATTGACCTTGAACGCGTTGTCCTGAAATGCTAACTCGCTCGAGACATTTCTTACCTCGACCGTTTCCGGGGGCTGACCGTTCGGACAACCGATCCCGTCCCAGAACCCGAACGACTCCATTTTCGGTTGGAACATGACGATCTGAGACTCGTTCTTTCTCTCGTTTTTGTTGATCTTCTCTGCTAGCAGTCTAAAGGCAACGATTTAAATGTCAGTGTCCATTGTCAGTCTACAGAGATTGAGAGACTCTAAGTGACTACGTCTTTAGATATTCTTATTGACATTTTACACTTATCTAGTTCTTGAGATTGATTGAAACATGTGGAAACACACAATGCATGAGATACATCTGATCTGGGTTTGGCTACTATGCTAATACTTATTGATAACCTTTCCACAAATTTTTAAAATACATTTAGAGCACTGATACTAGGTTCCTAGACCAAAACCATCAACCAATAATGTGTGTCGCGTGCAGGTAAGAGTTTACCTTGTCTTTGAACGAGTTACACTCTTCGACTTCGTTCCATACCAGATGTAGATCATTTTGCCCATGTCAAGCAAATATACGTAGCGTGAGTCCAGTGACCCTGGCTTTACATCCACCTATTTGACAAAAATCAAACAGGTGTCGTTAACAAAATTTACCGATAACTTTCAGAGAAACTGTTTTAGCTGCAATCGAAATCGGCTGAAACTAACTTTCGCGTTTGTTACGTAGAAGCTTTAAGCGCTGCAATGTTTTTACGTGATAGAATATATGCTTGCATCTGTGCAGCACTTAGAGAGAGAGAGAGATGATGCAGCGAGAGCAAGAATCAGGAAGCAAATAAAGGGATAGGGATAAAATACGGAGCAAAAAAGAACATGAGAAAGATATACAGGCAGAAAAATACATAAATAGAAGGATAGTTACACATAATAGGAGAGCAGCAGTCCATATACACAAACATTGGTAAACTGGTAACAGTATTAAGTATCACATAAGGATTTTGACGAGGATCCAACTTGGATCAAAAAAAGAATCTTACTGCTTCCAAGTGAAGATTCTTTGTTCCAGAACATCTGTACAGTCGCTTCACAAACTCCTGAAACCGCAAATGATACACAATCACCCCTCCATCCCTAATGCTACGAATGCAAATAATGACTTTTTAACTGAAATGAACAAAAAGGACATATTCATCACTTTACAAAGTGCCAGACATCCATTAACATGATATTTTGGGGATTGGACCATCATTTTATCAAACACACTTTCACTGTGACCTTACACAAGCATCAATCCTCTAACTGCATCTGGTTATTTTTTTAACATGAGACGCAATAACCTCTCCAATGGTACTGGAGCTTCCCACTGAGTGCTGTTACTTTATTACTTCCTGACAGTTAAAACCTTATTTTCATCAAAGACTACTAGCACTAAAAGCCCCCCCCCCAGCAAGGTCTAGCTGGGAATTTTACTGCTTCAGACAGAAATTTTATAACATCTACCAAGCAATAAATGTTGAGATATTTTAAGTAAAACGGACGATCCAAATGCTTCTAGGCAACCGCTTCGCCGTTTATGTCTGGTACTGAATCTTGAGGGGTGGCTTGACAGGGGAGGGTGGGGCAGCTGCACATTTTACTGCTTCAGACAGAAATTTTATAGTAAGTAAAACGGAAGATCGAAATTCTCATAGGAAACCATTTCACATTTCACTCGATGTCCTCGGTTCCTCAGTTTCGGTGTCACGTCTCTGTGCAGAACCGTGTACTGGGGAAAGGTGGCACCGCGGCCCTCAAGCCCCCTGGAACTGCCAGCATCACGACGTGACGCCGCTGCGCGCGCGAGACAAGCGAACGCTCACCGCATCCTCTATCGTGAAGAAGCCGCTCGCCGTCCTGGCGCCCTCTATGTAGCTGACGTCGGAGGTGACGAAGATGTCGAGGAAGGCGTCGCTCTCGTCTCCCTGCTCCTCACGCACCGTGCGCGTCTCCGCGCCGAGGAAGTTACGCAGGTGCACGGCGTGGATCGCCGAGCACGCCTTCTTATCCAGCTGTGAGAGGATAATTAATTAATTAATTAATTAAAGTAGAAAGTACAAGTTACGCAGGTGCACGGCGTGGATCGCCGAGCACGCCTTCTTATCCAGCTGTGAGAGGATAATTAATTAATTAATTAATTAATTAATTAAAGTAGAAGTAGAAGTTACGCAGGTGCACGGCGTGGATCGCAGAGCACGGCGTGGATCGCAGAGCACGCTTTCTTATCCAGCTGTGAGAGGATAATTAATTAATTAATTAATTAAAGTAGAAAGTACAAGTTACGCAGGTGCACGGCGTAGATCGCAGAGCACGCCTTCTTATCCAGCTGTGTGAGAGAGGAAGGCGGGATATACGTGCATTAGAGAAATACAGAAAAATACGAGCATTACTGTCAGCAAGTATGGCGTCAATCCTTAACATAAGGCTCACTCAAGGGAAAGGCGCATTAGACACAGGTCGACAGAACTGAAGTATGGTTCTGAAGTGGTAATCGTATGCGTGAGTGTATGTAAAGGTCACTCAATGGAAATCCCCCTAAATCAGTGGTGGGCAAAC